TATCTAATTAATCAGCTCAATGATTGGGTTCATTGTTAATGGATTTCTAAATTCAAATATTTATTAGTTTTAACATTGATCTTGAAATATAAGTGCTGCTTAAACAAAACAAATCTCGATTGATTTAGTATGAGATTACGAACCAATTAAATGTCAAATATGTTTGCACAGTTTTCTAAATTTATTTAATTCATTATTTGCATATACAATATAGATTAATTAGTAAAACATTGAAACGGCAAATAACTTAATAATTCATTTAGTGAGCCACGGCTATGGAAGTCAATACAATTTGTAGCTTTGGTTCAAAACAAAAAGGATCCAAAACTAATCAAAACTTTTATTCAATATTAAAGCCTACGATATTTGCGTTGAGATTCACGGGCGGACCGACCGGTTTGTGGCGATTGTGTCGAAAGAGACATATTATTTGCCAAAAGATTAGCCAATTCTTCGCATTTCTATTTCTGGTGGCGATTAATGCCGGTGCCATCGATGACTGCTTCGCTACATATCAGTCACTCATACAACCGGACCGTAGTTTTGTAGACAACGAAAACCTCTTCTACAGTCTGGCCCTCAATGTCACGGGTGCGCTCGCGCTCGACATACTCTGGTATAGGAGACGACTATTGCGGGAATTGCTTGATATGATTGATTTGGAGCACAGGATATGCATTATATTTGACGAGGAGATCCGGCGCGCCAACGCCCGTATCATCAGGAAAAAGTCGTGCGGTATGTTTGTGTTTATGGTCTCCTACGCCTGGTATACCATCTGGTCTGTGATCGACTCCTCCGACGAAAGCAATATTGTTAAGCCAGATAACCGTATTCAAGAGATTCACTGCCTAATTGTATACATCATTAGATGTCTGTCCGTTTTGGTATTCTCTATAATCCTATCGTTTTATATATCGCTTTCGTGGGTCTTTCGGCTCAAAGTTCGCCGAATTAACCAACACTTGAAGAAACAGTTGTCCGAAGCGACCAATAAGGCCAATGATGCCAACCCTGCCGTCAATGATAGCGCAAAAATCATTGAACTCTGGTTCAGGGCTTATATCATTCAGTCCAAGAAGTTTGAGATCATATTCAAACAAATAGCCGGCATGTTTTATATGGTTATGATTTACTCCATACTAGCGTTGGCACAGATTGTCATGTCTGCCGTTTTGAACAATTTGACGGACATGTCTCCAATGAAACCCATATGTGATGGGATCGCCAGTCTAGCCATTATTGTTTACTTCTTGTATTCGGTATCTATTGTCGAACACTATTTACTAAAAGTGGCTCGACTTCTGTATCAATTGTCGCTAACAATCAGATTCAGATCCGATGACAATGAGACCATTACTCTCAGCAAAAAAGTATAATTATTTGTTATCATTTCACTTTGAACTATAGCCGTATACTTTCCATACTATTTATTTAAATATATTTGTCATTTAGTTTAAACTGCTGGGGTGGACAATACATAGGACTGGTCTTAGTTTAACCATTTTTGGTATTATTAATATCAATCGACATCTGATTATATCAACTGCCAGTCTGTTGGTTACTTACTCCATATTAATGTATGAGTTCACGAGTGGCAAACATAGTCTCTTCATTCACTGACAACTAT